GTTTAGGGTTTAGGGTTGAAGGGATGCTGTAGGGGTTCGTGTAGGGGATCCTTTGAGGGTTCCTTGAAGGGCTCTACAGCCTGAAGAATCAGCAATGGTACCTTCCTTCTTATCTTTCTATAATAGTCCCTAGTCCAATGCCTAAAGCCCCTTGTAGGAAACTCATGCATGTAGTGCTTAATCACACGCTGTACTGTCAGTAAAATCCATCTGGTTTTTTAATCAGAAGTTGTATTGCTAGTCAAATCCATCTGTTCTGTTCGTCAAGGCAGTGATGCAGCAAAGCATGCAATCTTGACTCACTGTGGCGCCTTTAGGGCTCCTTCTGCGTGGGTAATATAGGGGCCTAAATAGTTACCAATACTCTGTTGGGGGGTTCCCAATTATAATCATAGTCTAATGTACCCTAAACCCCGTTTCTAAACATGAAGGTCCCTATACTAGCATCAAGGTTTGCGCTTTATTGTTCAAGACTTGCAAGGTCTGCAGTCAGGGATGCCAGCGATCACTATCAGTGTCTCACTAAGCAGTAGCTGTATCTCCTTTTGCTCCCTTGCAGGTTCCACCTTTTATCCCCCAAATCCACTAATCACTCAACTACCAAGGAAGTTTGCAAATCCGACGAGGCTGCAGGATGTTTCGGCAGAATCCCGACCCCTAAACCCACGGTAGCTGGTTCGAAGCAGGACCCTTGCCGTGACAAGCGTGGTGCAACTTGCCTGCAACCTCAGCATCTGATCTCCACAGCCTCCTGACCACTGGGAGTAACGATTTGGGAGTTTCCGAAAATTTGGGGTACCTTATTTAGGGTCCTTTTATATGGATCCTACTATTTAGGGTTCTTTCTTAGGGTCCCTTATTTTCGGAAACCCCCATTTAGGGTCCTAGGGTTCAGGGTTTGCTGAGGGTTTGGGAGGCTCGAAGTGTGATTTCAGGGTTCGCGGTCCAGGGCTCCGCGATTTCAATCGTGGAAGCTGCCCAGAGAGCCCGATGCCCCATAATTGGGTTTAGGGTTTAGGGTTTAGGGTTTAGGGTTTAGGGTTTAGGGTATCTATCTATCCATCGCTCTATCTATCCATCCATCCATCTACCGGTCTACCTACGTATCTGTTTATCTGAGTTTCTATTTGTGGATAGACACAAGTTCATAATGACACGGCTTCCTAACATGATTTAAGGCATATTCATTAAGTAAGCCTGTAACCTCCACGAAACCCCTTTTTTAAATCCCTATATATCACACCTAGACGCCCTGCAGAAACCCTGATAAACACCGTGGTTAGTTTGAGGGGCATTATCTTTTTTGATCGTGACAGCGTGGCCTGAGGGCGACGTTGTGGATTTGCGAGGTGCCTGAGCCTTGTTATCTCGCCGTTATTTTGCGGTTTCGGTTGAAGGTTGTGCTTTAGGTTTATGGGCTCTCGGGGGTAGGGGGTAGGATTCCATGTCAGTTGCTGTGCGTTTGAAGCGCTGGTCATCCTTTTCCCCTGTTTAGCTGTTCTGCGTATTTTGCGGCACCGCCTCCCCTAAACCCTAAACCCTAAACCCTAAACCCTAAACCCTAAACACTAACCCTAAACCGAGGTACTTCCCATTCCCATCACTGGCATGTTGGTGGGTCCTCTTCTCTACCTCTCTGGCGTCTGCTCCCTGGAGGAGGGTCCTAAAAAACCCTCAACCCCTAAACCCCTGCAAGACCCCAAAGATCCCACAAGGGTTTAGGGTTTAGGGTTTAGGGTCTAGGGTTTAGGGTCTCGGGTTTAGGGTCTAGGGTTTAGGGTTTCGGGTGTAGGGTTTATACATCCCAAGGGGGCCAGATCTGCTGTATACGTCCCGACATCGCCCAAAGGATGCCCTCAGCCCGTACATGAGCAACCTCACACTGGTCCTCTTCGGCAGCTCCATGATTGCCTTGGCCATGGAGCGGCATGGAAGCTCGTTTTGGTTTAGGGTTTAGGGTTTAAGGTCAGAATCGTTTGTTGAAAGGTTGTTGAGATCGGAGATTGGGGTGTGCCTTACATACTCGCATGCTGTTCGCCTCTGTGGCAGATCAACGGTTTTCGCCATCACTCTCCGCATCTCCAGTCTATGCGTATCCTGACACCTTCAGCTCTGAAACGGCACTCCACAAGTTGCGAAGAAGCCGCCACTACGGCCCTGAACCGGCAAGATAATGGTCGGAATAGGCAGGAATTTATCCTTTTATGGGTATAAGCATGCTCGCAACAATCTACCCCCTGCTCATGCCCCGACATGAAACTGAACCACCCTGTAACAAGGGCCTCCACAGTGAACAACTCTCGAAAGGCACGACGAAGAGGGTCTTGGGTTTGAGGCATGGCGTTTGGTGTGTTTGGCTTGGGGGGAAGGTGCTGAAGAGTCTGTCCCGGAGTTCGAAGTTGCCAGAATGCCAGCTTCCAGACACTTATGATCCTATTTGTTGACGCTGAAACAACTACCTCAGCATGAACCCCAGCGAGGAAAGTGAAATTGTCTGGAGGACCACAGCACGACAGAGACATATACTTTCAAACCTAGGAAGTAGTGTTGTCTTGCGCCGTGGCCACCCCGGACCGTCACTCACTTACGGTAGCAGGCTTTGGCTGCACGCGGCTGGTGTACCACATTGGGTCCAGAAAGGACCGGCCGGCGAACAACCACAACAGCCGGGTGTTCTGCCGGGGTGTTCTGTTTCTTCCTCCGTGGCGGCCCCGAACGCTCGCTCACTCACTGTGCCTGGCTTGAGCTGTGCTTGGCTGTTGTGCTGCACTGGCTCCAAAACGGCGTGGCGGGTGGGCCGGACAGCCTGGGCTGAGTCACTGGGGCCAGGATCAAAAAGGTTAGAGGAACAATAATAAAAACCACCGTGGCCTTGAAACCTTCAAAAACCACCGTGGCCTTGAAACCTTCTATCGGGTCTGATTAAGGAACCCTGGTTTAAGAAACTGCAAGAAGATAGGATCCAGATCAAGAACTCACCCTATCCGGCGACCCTCAAACATTGAAACCTCAATCCTCCAATAGTAGGACCGTTGGACTTTCATGAAATCCGGCCATCTGAAGGTTAAGAGACGTTCTTGAAGACTTCAAACTCTGAAATCTTCAAACCCCATGCAAGCGCTGGTGAGGTATGTTTTTGATGAATGTTGGTAATCTTAATCTTTGTTGTTCTTTTTATACCTAGTATGTATCATTGCAGCTATAACTAGTTTTGAAATTATTATGATTGCTGTTGTTGTTTTATTACTACCATTAGTATTATGATTATTGAGGATTGGACTTCCGCTTCGCAGACGCCGTGGCCTCCTGCAGATGGGTGCGGAGCTCTGACAGAGACGAAGAAAGGGGCTTGGGGCTGCATAAAGGGCTTAAAGGGCTTAAAGGGCTTCAAGGCTTAAGGGTTGCTCTAAGGGGTTCTATAAGGGGCTCTTTGAGGGTCTGTCTGGTTGGGAGCTTAGACCTTTGGCTCCCTACGCTGTTTCGAAGCCTAAACCCTAAACCCTAAACCCTAAACCCCTAACCCCTTACCCTACACCCTAAACCCTAAACCCTAAAGTCCTGCTTACCCCATAGAGGCTCAGCCGACGCAGGCCCGGGTTGTTGTGAGCTGGGGGTCTGCCCGTTTAGGGTTAGGCTATAGGGTCTAGGGTTTAGGGTTTAGGGTTTAGGCCCGAGGGGCTCTTCTCAGAGCGTAGGTTTTAGAGTGCAAGGTCTAAGGTTGAGGATGGCGGGCCTGGGGCCTTAAAGATTAGAAGAGGGTTTCGGGGGGTCATTGTTATGGCTATGGTAAAATATACCCCGAAACCCTATTCTACTTATTGACGCTTCTACATTATGGTATAATATACCCCGAAACCCTATTCTAAGTATTGACGCTTCTACATTTAGGGACTGGGGTTGGCGTTTTAGGTTCTTTAGGGTTAGCATTTGGGTTGCTTGGGGTTCAGGGTCTATAGGGCTTGGGGTGTAGGTTTTAGGGTCAAAGTGACATGCGATTTTTTTCGATTTTTTTGCGTGGAACATGGGCACCTTGAAGGACAGAGAACGGGACTCGAGGAATTTTCTAGCTTATCGAGTGTAAGTATGAAAAATAGCTGCCCAAGGCACCGAAAGATTTGAAACCCAAAGGCAACACACACCCCCAAATTCAACCCAACTCCTAAACCCAACACCTTACGCCATAAACCTCGAAGACCCATATAAAGCCCACGTGAACCCTGAATCCCTCCCCCGAACAGGTGGGGAAATCACCGACTCGACTCCGTGGAGCGATAATGGTGGCTGGCTGCCTGCTTTCCATGTGGATCACCAACACAGGACCCCAAACCCTAAGCAGAAAAACACCCTAGACCCCATCCCTTACTAAACCCTATAAACGCTGAACCAACATCCCTAAAGGCTAAACCCTAAAGCGGAGGGCTTGGGTTTAGGTTTGGGCGGGTTGGGGTAGAGGGTTTGGGGCTTCGGATACAAAGTCCTTGAGGTTGGAGTTTTGGTTCCGGGCTAAGGCTTGCGGGATCGTAGCGGTAGTTGTGTCTATGTCTATGTCTATGTAATCGTAGATGTACAGCCAAATTTAGGTGTGTATGATTGTAGATTGACGTGTAAATGCAGGCACAAGTATCTGCAGGTGTATGTGCCTATGTATATGTCTGCCTGCAGGGACAGCTAAGTGCATAGCAAGTGCAGCTCGAGGAGATCACATATCCATCGAGGTTTCGACGTCTACGCTAGGGACGGTGTCATATAGGGGCATTAATAATTAGAATAGGGTTTGGGGGTATATAGTGTAACTATAATAAGGAACCCCCCAAGACCCCATTCGAATTTTTAAGGCCCCTACATAAGGGTCGGGATTTGACATGGCTTGGGGTTCGAGGCGTTGAAGGAGACTGCATGGGTGGTTGGGGACACAGGAAGTCAGGGTTGGTTTTCTCCGAGTTTAGGGTTTAACTTAGGGCTCATAGCCTAAACCCTACATAAATCCTAAACCCCGAAACTGTTGTAGGATTCCAGCTCTAGGATTTAGGATTTTGGATGTCGGTTCAGGAGCAACCTACATCCTCACCCCCATCGTCATGAGATCGATGGGTGCGACACGCGGCAGGCAATCGGCGCCGAAAGCTTCAATCGTGATTTCAATTGCGAACTGCAAGCCCCCATCCCAATGTTATAGTTGGGTTTGGCGGACAGAGACATGGCATTTGAGAGTATGGGCTGGGGGTGAATGAGAGATGATACACCCCTGACCCCTAAACCCGGAGCAGTTCATGGTTTGCGGTTCATGGTGGGATGAAGGTAGGCAGGCAGTCCAGGGATTTAGGCATACTTAACTTACTGTCCACTGACAACCCAATGTACAGGTCTTCACAAACAGTAGAACTATCCCCGGATAGTTTCATATGATTGCGACAATATTGGCCCCGCAATCTAAAACCACTGAAAACCTCAAAAGCAGTGAAAACCCACGGCCCTAAATCCTAAAACCCAAACCACAAATCGCAGACTTAGGCTCAGAGAACTCTTGCCCCAGGCCGCTCCATAGCATCCGTGCGCAGCAGACGCTGACGGGCCGGACCAGGGATAAGGGTTCTACACAAGGTTCCGTGAGATTTCCATAGCTGGTTTCTAGACAGGGTTCTAGAAGGGTTCTAAAGAAAGGGCTCGGTTTTCAAAGGAGTTCCATCAGGGGTTCTGTTAAGGTTCCATAACGGCTTCTACTAAAAACATGTTGCAGAGGGTTCTACAAGCGTTTCTGCACAGGGTTCCAGCAAGGTTTTTGGGGTTCAGGGCCAAGGGCTTTGGAAATCAGGAGTTTAGGGTTTGGGGTATGGGTCGGTTTTAAAGTGTGTAGGGCTTGACGGATTTGGGGCGAGGGCTCAGGGGTTCTAAGGAGCCTGGCTTCAAGTTTCAGGGGTTAGGTTCTTGTCAGCTCTGAGTCGTTTACTTTTCGGGTGACAGTAGTCCTTAGCTCCCCAATACCCAACCTTCAAACTTGTTGGGTTCTTACAGTTTAGTAGTAATCTGAAAGTTTAATCTTTTATTTCCCTGGCTTATTGGGGAAGTAAGACTCGTATATGAGGGCCTTCATGGCTAGAAGAGAGTTCGGGGGTATGTTGTAGCATCAGCATCGGCGTAAAACCATAGAGAGGGCTTACAAGGGATATTCTTACGAACTTTTCTCAAACCCTAAACCCTAAACCCTAAACCCTCTGTCTTAACACTTCGAGCCCGACTTCTAAACCCACCCTTCAGAAACGGGAGTTTCCGAAAATAGGGGACCCCAAAACAAGGTACCCTAAATGGTAGGACCCTTATTATAAGGACCCCCAAATAAGGTACCCCGTATTTTCGGAAACTCCCAAACAGTCGCAGGGAGCCTCCTGTCCGTGGCGTATGCCTGCAACTGCGGTGGCATGGGTGGGGGCCTCGGTGAGCTTCCTTAAAAGGGTTCCTTCAGCGATCTGCAAGGGATCTTGAGGAATTTAAGGAGGTTTCAGGCTCAATCAAGCAAGTCATAGGTCGTGTAGTAGTTCGGAGTACTGTAGTTGGGGTGCTTACAAGTTTAAACCAGGCTTGGTGTCTAGAGTCTAGATCAGATTTTATGTCATGGTGGTTTCTGATGCTAATGTAGGGGCCTGAATAATTACCTATGTTTTTTTTTTTTTGGGGGGGGGTTCCTTATTCTAATTATAGTATAATGGGCCCCAAAGCCCTATTCTAATTATCCAGGCCCCTATATTATGAAGACACTGTTTCTGACGGACACCTCTTGGT